GTCATATAACTTATGTTCTTTTAAGAATGTCATTATTTAAGATAATGAGTTTATTGGTTGTTAGAAATTATGGATTTACCCAAAGGTGAATCAATGTTCTATAACTAATAAACATTAAGGAGAAATATAATGTCCTTTGTCGAGCGTATGTAGATATCCAAAGATACTATGTATGTTAGGCGAAGTTTATTTAATTTCTCATTAAGTGTTAAATGACATTCGACTTATGATAATGATATATATTGTTGTGTTTACCTAAAGGAGACCTGCAATATATTTTATGAATGATTTCTGAATATATTAATTAAGTGAGCTTTTATGATTGTGCAGCTATCTCTCTTCATTTGCAAGCTTCTTCTGTTACTGTCTTCAATGGTTTGAATTTCTCTGAATGGCGTGAGCAAGTCAATTTCCATTTAGGTGTTTTGGATATTGACTTGGCTCTGCTTGAAGAAAAGCCCGCTGACATTAATGATCAAAGCAGTAAGGCTGAGAAATCAAACCGTAAGGCTTGGGACAGGTCTAACAGATTATGTTTGAGCTTTATGCGAATGACGATTGCCAACAACATTAAGTCAACTCTTCCCGATAATGTGGATGCAAAAGCATATCTTTTGCTTGTGGAAGAGCGTTTTCGTTTCGCGGATAAGTCATTGGCAGGAACACTTATGGCTGAACTCACGACCAAAAAGTATGATGGGTCGCGTAGTATGCAGCAACATGTTCTTGACATGACTAATCTTGCAGCAAGGCTTACGTCCCTGGGTATGACTATAGATGACTCATTTCTGGTGCAATTTATGCTTAACTCGTTGCCTCCTGAATATGGGCCTTTTCAAATTAACTATAACACTATTAAGGATAAGTGGGATGTTAATGAATTGGCCAGTAAGCTTGTTCAGGATGAGACGAGACTTAAGGCACAAGGAGTTCATACAGTCAATCTTTTGGGTCGAGGAGCTAATGATGTTCTCAAACCGAAATCCAACAAGTTTAAGAAGAAAGGACCTGCTAAAGTTTCACAGGTCACTAATGATGAAAAGAAGGAAAATCGGGCAAATAAATGTTATTTCTGTAGAAAAGGTCACGTACAGAAAGATTGCCTGAAACGCAAGTCTTGGTTTGAAAAGAAAGGTATTTCTAATATCTTTGTATGTTTCGAATCAAACTTGTCTGAAGCTCCTTCAAATACTTGGTGGTTGGATTCTGGTACTACAACTCATGTTTCTAATGTGATGCAGGGATTTCTTACAATCCAGAGCATAAACCCAAAT